TCATGAATGCCTACATTTTAGCAGATACATACCATAACAGATAGGTCACTGTCTAGTACATCAGTAGCTAGCCATCTTTTTATAGTTAGCTGAACAACCAAGAAGTCACTGCATTTTTCTGACAAAGAGTGACGTATTGCAAATAGAATTACCAACTCTTTCAGTGCACTGGTTTCTGGAACCTGCTGTGTGTAGGGATCAAGAAGAATTGTCTTCCAGGATCTGCAGTAGATCTAAATCCCTTGTGTCTACTCACAATTAAAATGTCTCCACTGAAGCAAATTGAAAACTTATGATGATGGCATGTAACAAAAACTGCAGCCTAAAGATTAAAAAAAGATGTACTGACTTTATTTGAAGTTGAAGAAATGAGGTTACCTTTTGTCCTTTCTATGTATTTCCTTTGTAAGAGCTTATTTTCTTTCTGAGCTCTTACTTTTGTAGATGTCTGTGACACCTGTCAATTACTGTGCTTGTTATAAACTCAGTGTGTTCTCTCCAGTACCTAACACTGGTAAGGACCGAGATGGCATTTGCAAATCATGGGGACAGTATCATTTTGAAACATTTGATGGCATCTACTACTACTTCCCAGGAAATTGCTCCTATGTTTTTGCTAAAGACTGCAGTACTCCAGAACCCCAGTACACGGTTTGGGTGAGTATGTTAGCATACATGTGAAATACACTGAGTGTTCCTGTATTATGGGCCTTGTATTTCATCATAAGTAAAATAAGTAGAGACAATAAATGGATCAAACTGTTGCATTGCTTACTTAAGTATAAAACTGTGCTGCTGGAAAATGTCTAAGCCTATGTGCAGTAACTCAAAACACTGAAGAAATGATAATCAACAGAGTTAGTATATCAAAAATAGTATTTCTTACTCCCCCTATCCTAAAAAGGATCTCTGATCTCTCCTTTCTGGGTGCAAAAGTGGGTCTTAAAGCAGACCTTGGAAACTTCAATAAACTTTACTCAGCAACTAATTTTTTTTTTACAATCTGACAGCTAAAGTGCAAAGAGCTATCACCTGCCTGACAGCTGAGCACCCATGCGTAGTAGTGGGCCCCTATTCACAGCCATTGGCATGCTATACAGAGCTGCCTCCCTCGCCACGGAAAATTTTGTCCCCTCTGGGGATTTGCATTCTAATTTTGGATTACCTCTACGTCATGCAGAGAAGATTAACAACTCAAAAGCCTTCATCCTGACCTGTGTATGGAAGGCATTTGTTTTTAGTAATTTCCTCAAATTGCTGAGTATCCATGGTTAATGACTTTGGGTCAGGGAGAGTTCAAACCTAGACCCTCTTCGAAGGAAGATATCCTGTTTATCAGGTTATTGGTTACTGTGGGGAGAGGATACGAGCTCATTATGTTACTTTTTACACAATGGTTGGGATTTGGTGGTGATTGGGCAGGGGAGAGGGGAAAAGAGGGGTCCTAATTCTAGGCCCTGGTGCAGGGGCAGACCTAGGTGAGGATTTCTGCTCCAAGGACTAGTTTTCATTTATGAAGACATGGCCTCCTCTCCCTTGAGATAAGAGCAGCTAGTGAAGATAAATCTGCCATTAAAACTGCCATTTCTATTCACTCAGGTTATAGACAGATGCTGTTACATCTGCCTACCATGATTTCATTTTAATTCTTTGGATTCTGTGTGCAGCTATGATCTTTTAGGATTTTTCAGAAAATGCTGAAGCAAAGCCCAAGGTTATATTAAAAACTAGAATCAATATTTCAGTGGATTCCAGTTGC